AAGTTGCCTGTTACTCACAGAGACCCTATGTGGATTTAAAAGGAAAAATTGAAGCTTCACCTCTTCTGCCTATGTTAATCACCTTATTGGAAATAGGGTCCTTGAGCATGCTATCAAAAAGCTATGAAAAAGAATGTGGCATCAGAATTGGAGGAAGACTCATCAACAATCTACGGTTAGACCCAGCCTTGCTTGCTGAAAGTGAAGAGGACTTGAAATAGAAGGTCAAAGATACTGTCAATTTGGATTACAGCTCAACATCAAGAAGATGAAGAAAGCCTCATCACTGGACCAAGAGGCAACGTCACGATAGGTGGAGAAAAGGTTCACGTTATTAACAATTTTGTTTTACTCGGATCTACAATCGATACCTATGGTAAGAGCAGTCAATAAATCAAAAGGCTTGTTGCATTGGTAAACTCTGCTGCCAAAGACCTCTCTAAAGTGCAAAGATGCCAGTTCAAAGACTAAAGGGTGCCTGATCCAAGCCATGGTCTTTTCAATCAGTGTCTAGGCATCTGAGAGTTGGACAGTGAGTAAGGCTAACAGAAGAACAGATGTCTTTGAATTGTGGCTTTGGAAAAAGAGTATTGAATATCCCATGGACTGCCAAAGGAACAAACAAGTCTGTTTTGGAGTAAGTGCAGCCAGGGTGTGCCTTAGAGGCAAGGATGATAAAATCTCATCTCATGTACTTTGGGGATGTGGTCAGGAGGGGTCAATCCTTAAAAAAATATACTTTGCTGATAAAGGTGGATGGTCAGTGAAAGACAGGAAGACGCTCAGTAAGACAGATTGACAATTTGGTGGCTGAAGGGAGGGGGTGAAAAGAAAGAAACAATGTACATGAGTGAAACACAATACAAACCAATTATTATATGCAAATCAGTAAAACTTTTTTTTTTTAAAGACAGATTGACACAGTGGCTGGAATATATCAGAGACCATGAGACCGGTACAGGTAGAGCAAGGTTCAACTCTGTTGTTCACAGGGTTGCTATGAGTTGTAGCTGGCTTGATGGCACCTATTATCAGTGATCTGAGATCACACCAGACTAGACTGGCTAATAATCCAATATAGTCATGTCCTTAGAAAAGAGAAGAAACACAGACAGACTAGGAAACATGACCAAGTGTCTATCATGCCTTGGCTGCCAATGAATGAAAAGGTGCGGTTGCCTGAAAACTATAGTGACATGAAAAGATCTTTCCCTAAGAGTCTTCAGAGGAAGCTTAGCCTTGCTGACAACCTGATTTGGGTCTCTACCCTTCAGAATTGCACCCATTCAGCTTACAGTGCTTTGTAGCAGCCCAAGGGGATGGAACAAGGATGTACTGGTTCTTCTCTTATCTTCTATTGTTTCTTGTTGGTTGTGATTCCTGAAATTCCCAGACCACATCAGCTACACACAGTTTCCCCGTTGCCTCTCATTCCTTCCCTCTGACTTCCTCTGTATCACGCAGTCACCTGAAAGTTATAGAACTGTCTTTACAAACCAAGGCCCGCTTCCCAAGATACTTTCCAACTTCCCATGTGATACAGATTGAATTGTGCTTCCCAAAGTATGTGTGGGCATCCTAACATTTATGTCTCTGGATGTAATTCTGTTGGGAAGCAGGGTTTGCTGTTTTGTTTTCTGTTTGGTTTTTTTTTTGTCATATTAATAAGGTCATATTGATGTAGGTTGTATCCTCATTTCAGAGTTACATGGGCAGCAAAGACATGGATTAGATGAGATGGATTCAATGACATTGAATATAAACATAGGGAGATAAGAGCAAGATACAGGAAGACTGATGCACACATATCAGGTGCAGACTGCCAAGGAATAGGAAATGGCAGGGCTATAGAAGCTGAGACCAAGAACTTCTTCCCAAGTGGACAGAGAACCTTCCTCTAGAACTAGTGGTCTTCTTGGCATCTAGTCTTTTTATTACTATTTTATAAGTTGCGTACCATGGTGAGTGGTCAAGGCCTCAAAACCTGTTCCTGAGATGGTTCTGAAATTCAGGTGGGATAGACTGGAACAGCACATCAGCAGAGAACTGCCAGAAGTCCAGGCTGGGTTTAGAAGGGGTTGTGGTACTAGGGATATTGTAGCTGATGTTAGATGGATCTTAGCTGAAAGCAGGGAATACCAGCGGGATGTATATCTGTGTTTCATTGACTATGCAAAGGCATTTGACTGTGTGGATCATAACAAACTGTGGCATACCTTTTCAACCTATATGCAGAACAGATTATCCAGGAGGCTGGGTTCTATGAGGAGAAATGTGCAGTCAAGACTGGCGGAAGATCTATCAACAATTTGTGTTATGCAGATGACACAACCCTTCTTGCTGAAAGTGAGGAGGACCTGAAGCACCTGCTGCAGAGTGTCAAGGACTGCAGCCTCCAATATGGATTGAGGCTCAATGTCAATAAGACAAAGATTCTCACCACTGGGCCAATTGGCAGCATCAGGATGGATGGTGAAGAGATTGAGATTGTACACAGCTTTAGTTTGCTTGGCTCCACAGTCAACAGTCTTGGCACCAGCAGCCAGAAAAATTAAAGGTGTATTGCCATAGGAAAGTCTGCTGTTAGGGACCTCTCCAAAGTACTGAAGAGCAATGGTGTCTCTGGAGATTAAGGTGCATCTGATACAGGCCATGGTCTTTCAATCATTTGTTATGCATCAGAGATTTGGATAATGACCAAGGAGGATAGAAGGAGAATTGATGCCTTTGAACTGTGGTGCTGGAGAAGAGTATTGAGAGTACCGTGGACTGCTAGGAAAACAAACAGATTCATCCGGGAAAAGGTTAAACCAGGTGGCTCCCTGGAGGCAAGGATTCTGAGGCTCCATCTAACATACTTTGGACATGTTGTAAGGAGAGACTGGTCCTTGGAGAGGGACATCGTGCTTGAGAGGGTGGAGGGACAGCGCAGGAGGGGAAGGCCTTCTATGAGGTGGATTGATTCAGTGACTAGGGTAATCGGGATGGGTGTGTTGGAGAGAGTGAGATTGGCACAGGACAGAGCAGAGTTTAGGGCTGTTGTACATAGGGTCGCTATGAGTCGCAAGTGACTCGACAGCACATAACAACAACAACCACCACCTTGGTGAGGTATTGTCAATTGCTCCCTATCCATGAAGCATATCTCTAGAGGTGCCCTGATGGCCTTGTGGTCAGTATTTGTGTCAAATGTTTGGAATCTACAAGCTGCTCCATGGATGAAAGATGGACAGTATCTTCCCATGTGGTTCACTGCTGGAGGGTCAGATATGAGCTGGCTCCAAATTGGCAACATATCACAATGACAGTCCTATATGTGGAACATATACCTAGGGAGCTCTGGTGGCTTAGTGGTAAGGAGCTGCACTGCAAACCCGAAATCACACAGTTCAAATCCACCTGGTGCTCCACAGAGGAAAGATGGGCAGTCTCCTTATATGTGATTTACTGCCTCTGAAAACACAGTGAAGGGTTGGTACCTAATAATAACAAGAACAATACCCATGCATGTGAAAGTTATACAAAGAATAAAGATGACTGGGGAATTCATGCCTTTGAATTATGGTATGGGTGAAGAGTACTGAACATACCACCGAATGCTAAAAGAACAAACTGATTTGCCTCGGAGTATGTGTGTTTAGGGCATTTTTTACAGGCAAAGAAGGTGGAAGGTGAGGTGTGTTCTCACATACTCAGGGCATGTTATCAAAAGGTGACAGTCTTTAGAAAAAGACACCATGCTTGGAAAAGAAGGTCAGCAAAGGAGAGGAAGACCCTCAACGAGGTAGATGAGCACAGTTACTGCAACAACGGGCGTGAGCATGAGAAAGACTGTGCGGTTGATTCAGGAAAGGACGAGACTCAGACCTGTTGTTTACAGGGTCATTGTCAGGTTAGTTAACTTGATGGCATCTCGTGACAACATTTATTTGCAACAGGAAAAGTGGACTTGGGGGGAGGAATTGTATTAACAATGAAAGAATTTTTCTTTTACTTTTCAAAGAGAAGAGTGAATTGGGTGGGGATGGGTGGGTAGGGAGAAAAGTGCAACAAGGAATGGAAATCCAAAGTCTCTGTAAATGTTCATTAAAATGAAAAACTAAATTAAAAAAAGAAAAGCCTGATCAATATAGATTGCTAGAGCATGCCACTGTGTCCCTGTAAAAGGTATTATTTATTTTTATAGAAGTCAATTAATTCCAAAAGCTTCTTCCAAGGATCCATATATTCTCCACCTTCTCGACAGGCGATACAGGAATGAAGAAGATATAATAGAAGCTTATAATGTCATTGTGGAAGCAATGCCTGAAACCCTTGATTAAATTATTGTTGTTGGGTACCAGAGAGTTGGAACTGACCCATAGCTGACCCTCTGGGGGTTTTCAGAGGCAGTATTATTACCTGTACAACCATTCCCAACCATTTCTCTTAAACCACAATCATAACAAACAATTGGTTAACAATTCCAATTGCTGTTATGTGCTGTTGAGTATGACTCATTGCAATCCTATGAACAACAGATCTGAATCCTGCCTTATCCTGTGCCATCTTCACAATCTGTGACACACGTGAGCCATTGCAGCAGTCACTGTGTCAATCCATCTAGTTGAGGGTTTCCTCTCCAAATATGATTCCTCTCTCCAAGGAATAGCCTCTCCTAGCAACATGTCCAAAGTATGTGAGACAAAGCTTCATTATCTTTGCCTCCAAGGAGCACTCTGGCTGTACCTTGTCTAGGACATAGCTGTTTGTTCTTTTGGCAGTCCATGGGGTATTTGGTACTAAATTCCAGTTAGGATTAGGTAAATAGAGAGGTATCTGAGGAAATGTTCCACGCTTTTGTGGTCTGAGCCAGTAAGGAGGCGATCCTTGGCTGATTAACACTGTTGTGGGAGTCTGGAGTAAGGGTGAGAGTGGCAGGGAGATGAATGGAAGAGGGGAAGGTGGTCTGGGAAAGCCAGGTGGGCACCCAATGTGAGCAGAAGAACCATTTCTCTTACCTTTCCCATTCCAGCGTGGGCATGTCCCAGCTTGACCACGACGGGGAAGTGTGGGGCTGTGAGCTGAAAGAGACAAGAGGAAACCACTCATTAGCATCCAAAGGCTTCTCCACGGAGGCTCCAGGCACTGCCTGCTCTGTGGAGTCTCATTCCTCTGACACTGCAGGATTCTCCGCAGAGATGCACAGACAGCCACCCTGCTACAGCTTAAATACCCGGAGTGTCAGTGCTTTTGACTATCAAAGGAAGTTCCAAGTTTACTTTTTTCTTATTTTATTAATTTTAATGAACATTTACAGAGACTTTGGATTTCCATTCATTCATTGTTGCACTTTTCCCCTTCCCCCCCAGTTCACTCCTCTCTTTGAAAAGTAAAAGAAAAATTCCTTCATTAGTATACAATCCCCCCCCCGTCCCCCCCCAAAGCAGATATATGCACACCCATGTTTATCACGGCTTTGTTCACAATAGCAAGGAGTTGGAAACACCTAAGTGCCCATCAACAAACTAATGGATAGAGAGGCTGTGGTATATTCACACAATGGACATTCCAAGCTTTTAAAGCCAGCTTGCCTGGGGCAGCCAACAGTATTTTTGCTGTTATGAGTGGCTAAGTGGATTTGAAGTATGTAGTGCCAGAGAACAGGTTTTCCTAGGATGTAATCTTTAGGAGAGCAGATCACAGGTCTTGTCTTCTGCACTGCAGCTGGTTAGTAGTTAAGCACTTAGCTTTTGTATCATCAGGACTCCTTGGAGAGTTGTGTTGTTGTTGTTGATTGCCTTTGAGTAGAGCACGACTCATAGCGACCTATGAACAAAAGGCCTGAAGCCCCTCTACAACTATCGATATTTATCAAAGTTCATAGAGTTTCCAGAGGCATGCTATTTAGGAAGTGGACGCCACTGGTTTCCACCCAGCTCTAACACTCGTGCAACCTTCATGTGTACCTCAGTTTCTCCATCTATGAAATGGGAATGAAAAGAGTATCTAATCCATAGAACTGCTGTGAGGATTTTAAAAAGGCTATTATAGGTCTGTGTTTCATTGACTATGCAAAGGCATTTGACTGTGTAGACCATAAAAAACTGCGGCTGACTCTGAGAAGAATGGGAATCCCAGAACAATTGATTGTTCTAATGCAAAACTTATACTTGGACCAGGAGGCAGTCGTCAGAACAGAGCAAGGGAACACTGCATGGTTCAAAATTGGGAAGGGCGTACGCCAGGGATGCATCCTATCTCCATACCTTTTCAACCTATATGCAGAACATATTATCTGGGAGGCTGGGCTCTATGAGGAGAAATGTGGGGTCAGGATTGGTGGACGATTTATCAACAATCTGCGTTATGCGGATGACACAACCCTGCTTGCTGAAAGTGAGGAGGACCTGAAGTGCCTGCTGCAGAGTGTCAAGGACTGCAGCCTACAATATGGATTGAGGCTCAATGTCAAGAAGACAAAGATTCTCACCACTGGACCAATTGGCAGCATCAGGATGGATGGTGAAGAGATTGAGATTGTACACAGCTTTAGTTTGCTTGGCTCCATAGTCAACGGTCTTGGCACCAGCAGCCAGGAAATTAAAAGGTGCATTGCCATGGGAAAGTCTGCTGTTAGGGACCTCTCCAAAGTGCTGAAGAGCAGTGGTGTCTCTCTGGAGACTAAGGTGCGTCTCATACAGGCCATGGTCTTCGCAATCACCTGTTATGCATTAGAGAGTTGGACAATGACCAAGGAGGATAGAATGAGAATTGATGCCTTTGAGCTGTGGTGCTGAAGAAGAGTATTGAGAATACCATGGACTGCTAGGAAAACAAATAGATTTGTCCTGGAGAGGGTTAAACCAGGTGGCTCCTTGGAGGCAAGGATTCTGAGGCTCCGTCTAACTTACTTCGGACATGTAGTGAGGAGAGACCGATCCTTGGAGAGGGACATCATGCTTGGGAGGGTGGAGGGACGGCGCAGGAGAGGAAGGCCCTCTATGAGGTGGATTGATTCAGTGACTGGGATAATTGGGATGGGAGTGTCAGAGACAGTGCGATTGGCACAGGACAGAGCGGAGTTTAGGGCTGTTGTACATAGGGTCGTTATGAGTCGCAAGCGACTCGACGGCACATAACAACAATAACAACAATAACAACAATAACAACAGCAATAACATTATAGGTGAAGTTGCTATATTATAAACATCCAGTGATTGAAAGTGTCATTGTTGCTGTCACAATTCTGCCATAATCCCACCACGAATCTCTCAAATGTCTGAAGAGTTTCATGATCTCCTAAGGCCACCCTCAGCCATGCAATGGCTGTACCCTGTGGGACACCAGGCTGCATTGCTACCTGAGGTAGTCAAACCTGATGAAGGCAACACCCTTGTTGAGTTCCCACTTGTATTTCCTGCTCCTGGTCCAATGCTGAACCTGTGGCTTGATCCATTTTCCCAGTGGAGCCTGTATAGTGTACATGCTTCTCCTGATGATACAAACTGGAAGACTGCGTTCACAGTCACAGACATTTAGCCGGGAAGGGAGGCCACCAGCATTCCAAACTCAGTGAGCTGCTCCCAAGCCCAGCATCTTTCTGAATACTTTTCTTCTTATGTCATTGAAATACTGCTTGAGAGGTGTTTGTCTGGTTGTTAGAATCTGCATATTGTGTATGGCTTACGAGTAAAGACATTGAAAAACAAGGAACTCATTGAATAGTACACAAAATGGATAACCCTGGAGGATATTATGTGGAGTGAAATATCTCAGTCACAAAAGGACAAATACTGCACAGTGCCACTGCTATAGAGGAGGACTGACATCAAAGTTCGGGGGAGACTGAGAAAGATGGGATAAATACTGTATACTGCATTGAAACAGATGAGGGAGAGAACTGTTTAAAAGGGATATGTGATTAGATATTATTGTCATGACAGGAGTCCAGAACGAAGGCTGCACAGTGGAGGGAGGGATTGAATAACAAAGAATTTTTTCTTTTACTTTTCAAAAAGAAAAGCAAATTGAGAGGAGGGATGGGCAGTGAGAAAAGTGCAACAATGAGTGAAAGGAAATTAAAAGTCTCTGTAAACTTTAATTAAAATTTTTAAAAAACGAGAAAAAAAATAAAGGCTATCCCTTCTAGCTATTTGATCATAAAAGGACTCCTTTACATGTGGGTCCTACCTTCCACCCCCAGCCAGGATTAACCATGTCCTACTCCCTACATTGTACAACTGTCTGTTCTTCCATCTGTAAGTCTTTCCTGAATTGTTCTCTAGAGATGTTGTCTGTTCTTTCACACTTTGAGATCCTTGACAGCAGGAACTGGAGCGCTTCCCTCTCGATACCTAGCATCTTAGGAGATAGGAAGTGTCTTCTGCAGAAGTGTCTGCAGATTACAAAGCCATTCCAGGGCCCTCATTTCATTCTATCTTCATGCTGGCCCCATAACAAAACAGGAAAGGTACTTTTATTACCATTTAAAAATAAGAAAGTGATGGCTCATTTCCCCCTTAGGAAAGGGGGAAACTAGAATTTGAACTTGGACCTGTCCACCTCTGAGTTTGATAAGGTGTATTTACTTGAACAGTTTCCTCCAAGGTCTAAAACAAGGGTGGTCTACAGCAGAAAGAAAAGAAGCTTCCCCCTCTTCTATTTTCAAGTTAGATTTTTACCATCCCCTGATATTTAGAGTGGTCAACTACATCTTTGGATTTGATCAAGGACTGCAGCCTTCAATATCGATTGAAGCTCAATATCAAGAAAACAAAGATTCTCACACACAGGGCCAATTGGCAGCATCATGATGGATGGTGAAGAGATTGAGAATTGTAAACAGCTTTAGTTTGCTTGACTCCACAATCAACACTCTTGGCACCAGCATCCAGGAAATGAAAAGACATATTGCATAGGTAAAGTCTGCTTTTAGAGACCTCTTGACGAGCAATGCTGTCAGTCTGGAGATTAAGGTGCACCTGATAAAGGCCATGGTCTTTGTGATCACTTGCTATGCATAACAGAGCTGGACAATGACTAGTGATAATAGAAGGAGAACTTATGTCTTTGAGCTGTGATGCTGGAGAAGAGTATTGAATGTGCAATGGACTGTTAATAAAATGAACAGGTTCATCCTGGAGAGGGTTAAACCAGACTGCTTCTTGGAGTCAAGGAGTTTGAAGCTTCGACTTACTTTGGACATGTTGAAAAGAGGGATCAGCCCTTGGAGAGGGATGTCATGCTTGGAAGGGTGGAAGGACAGCACAGGAGAGGAAAACCCTTGATGAGATGGATTGGTTCAGTGACTGGGGTAATAAGGTTAGATATGTCAGAGACAATAATGTTGGCACAGGATAGAGCAGGGTTTAGGGCTGTTGTATATAGGGTCACTATGAGTCACAGGCGACTCAACGGCACATAACAACAACACTACCTCTTAAAGCCCAAAAGCAATATTTGATTATTGTTCCCAGAACAATATGTGTTCTCTAAAAAACTTTAGAAAAAAATATTGGAGTGATAAAAAAATATTGGATATAAAGAAGACAATAAAGGCCATTTTCAGATTTCTAATAATTTTAGTATATTATCTGCTGATCTTTAAAAATATTTTTAGTCTATGAATTTTTTATTTGTCCTCCTTTTATTAAGTTAAGAGTAGAGTGCAATATTAAATTTTGCTTCTTGCTCCTTTCTACATAATGTTATATGATAAGGATGCTTCTAGTTGTTTCTATCTGCTAGCGTAATACTTTGAAAATATTTCACACATCAAAGCAGAAACTTAAGGGACAATACAGTGGACCTCACTTAGCCTTAGAAAGAAAACCATGTCCAAACAGTTGGACAACTGCATGGCTAACTCAGTGCTTTGCACTGACAAGATGGAAACACACAGAAGACAGAAACAGTATTTTTGCCTTCAATAGACTTAACAACTATTTGAAGAGAAAACAAAATTGCTCACCATTGGAGCAATAGGCACCATCATGATAGATGGAGAAGAGATTGAAGTTGCCAAGATTTCATTTTACTTGACTCCACAACTGACACCATGGAAGCAGCAGTCCAAAATCCA